GCTGATCTATTGAATGACATAAAATCTTTGGAGAAATGGATTTATTCATTTGAGTTTATTATCAATACAACCTTCTGGTTCGAAGCGCGCCAAGCCATTGTAAGCGTGCCATTTCAATCAGGAAACATTACTTTAGATGAAGAGATGAAGCTTATCAGGGTCCCTATCGAGGATCTTATGAATTTAGATATTCTTGGCCCGAATTAATTAATGAAGCACATTTGTTAACCTCCGGTCTAGCTAGTTATGGGTTTTAGTCAAAGTTAGTTCAAAAAAGGACAAGGAAGTGGAAAGCCTTTTACAAAAAAGCAAGGAGTGAAGTTCATTTCTAAGAAAACAATGAAAAGCAGTTTGAGGTGAACGTATACCCGTTTTTCAAAAACACCTTTAGATGCTTTTTACGTATTTTGAGAAAAACGGAATTATAAATTACTTTTAAAGAACTTTAAAATGTTCATACAAATTATAATTTTCAAAAAACGTTTTACAAAATTTTCTTATATAATAATAATACAAGAATTATGTATAATAATACAAGAAAATTTTGTAAAACGTTTTTTGAAAATTATAATTTTGTATAAATTTTTCAAAGTTCTTTAAAAGCAATCATTCAATAACCTTTGCAGGCACCTAAATAAGCTTATTTTCTAAAAAAAGTCGATTCTGATTATTTTTACCTTAAGGCGTTATGAAAAACGGCTGAAGAACACCGCTCTCGATACTTTAATCCAACAAATAAGAGACAGATTTTGAGCTACAGAAAAAATGAAAAACAGTTTGTCCTTCCTATGGTTCTCGGAATCTAATAGTAGGTCGAGTGAAGAAATATGAACCACCTAGCCTGGAGGAGAAATGTAAAACTTTGGCGCAAATCTGTGTGAACAATGTAGATGAATAAAAACTTTTTAGAGGTCCATCATCTGGATATTCTGAAGCACGCCAAGCTTTTCAGTCCAAAAGAATATCTCACTTCAATGAAGCTATTAAATGGAATCTATTAAAAAGGTCTAGAGTCTATCTTCGAATCAATAGGCATTTTGTTACGTACTTTTAACACGATTCTCGTTTCCATTGCCGAAAGAGAGATTTTTCAGTAAGCTCGGTGTAGACAACATTAAGATCTACAATAAGTCAAGAGCGGCTTACCAATTTCTTGGTTATATCTATTGAATACGGTCTTGCAAAAAATCTGTGCTACAACAAAGTCATTCCAAATTTTGCTTTAAATTATACCCGTAGAGTCAAATTGTCATGAAGCATTTAGAATATCTATTACATTTAAAACTTATATTTACTCGCAATGTAATAAAGTTCAGTAACTTATCAACTTGTGCTTCTTTTTTACTTTTATTTCAAATTTTATTTAAAAATAAATAGAAGCTTCCTCGACTGTATTTACTCCCTCGGCCTTTAAAAGTAAATTTAGTTAACAAAAAATAAATAAAAAGACAGTATTTGGACAGTACCTAAACTTTTTAAAATTAGATCAATATAACAGGGCGCTAGATAAGTTTTGACCCCGGGCGTCATAAAAGGTTGCGGCGGGCCTATATATATATATATATATATATATATATATATATATATATATATATATATATATATATATATATATATATATATATATATATATATATATATATATATATATATATATATATATATATATATATATATATATAATATATATATATATATATATATATATATATATATATATAAATATATATATGTATACATACATATATATATATATATATATATATATATATATATATATATATATATATATATATATATATATATATATATATATATATATATATATATATATATATATATGAGATAATATTTTTGAGTCATCTGTGTTACATAGTTCTTCTTCAATTAAATCTGTACTTGAGTACTTTACTTTGAATCAAATGAATCTTGAATCCACTATTCAATGTGATTCTTGAGTCTAAAAGTTATAAAAATATACTTTGATTACAAATACATTCAAAATACTTCACTTATAGTCAAAATAATATTAAAATATGTTAGATGTATATAGTAATATAATAAAGTAAAATAGTATTACACTTTATCTTTTAAGAAAAAAAGTAAAGGCTAAAAATATTAACCTTTAGTTATCTAGTCAAGGGCAGTGACGGATCCAGGATTTTTTGGTGTTTGAAATAGCTAACTTCCAGACATGGAGCAAACTCTAAACATTTTTATATTTCTACTTAAGCCAATTATTGAAGCTTTGCAAAAAATTACGATATATGGAGGCTGGGAATGAAAATACCATTAAAATTTATAAGAATATTATAATTAATAGTCGGTCTTTAAGATAGCTAACTTCCAGACATAAAGCAAACTCCAAATATTTATATGTTTATACTTATGTCAAATAAAAATGCTTTGCAAAAATTTGCAATGATTGGAGCTTGGGAACAAAAAAAACCCAAAATTTTGTCCCCCCTGTCTCAAACGTGAGAGCAACAAGTTGATGAAATATTTTTTGTAATATTTGTAACTAGACTTATATTCATCGATGAATTTTAAGTTTCATAGCATTATCTCTCAGCGTTTAAAAATTATGAGAAATAAAATTTGCAACTCTCTTAAAATGAGGGGGGATTAAACTTTATATGGTCATAATTTTTGAACGCTAAAATATATTACTATAAAATTTAAAATTTATCGGTAAATATAAGTCTAGTTAAAAATAGTAGAAAAAAAGACTTTATCAACTTGTTGTTCTCACGTTTTGGGCAGGGTAGAAAAATTATGGGGTTTTTTTGTTCCCAAGCTCCAATCATCGCAATTTTTTGCAAAGCATTCTTATTTGCAATAAGTGTAAACATATAAATGTTTGGAGTTTGCTTCATGTCTAGAAGTTAGCTATCTTAAAGACCAAACAATGCTTTTGGCGCCCTTGTATGGAAAGGGAAACAACCATCACGACATTTACAACATCCAAGTTGTTTCGGACAAAAAAGAAGCTAATCATTAACTGTTCAATAACTATGGTCATTTCGGTCTGTTTAAATTAAACAGTTTAATCAAATAATTAATAAACTTTTTCAATTATTATTCACGATCACACATACTTATTTACAATGATGCATGTTTCTGTACTGACCAAACCAACACAAACCAAACACCAAAATATCCTGGATCCGTTACTCATGGCTTTTTCCCCTGCCTGTATTAGACTTGGAAAACAATTTTTTCAGTATACTGCATTTGAGGTGCTCAAGAAACTAATGCCACATGATGAAGCCTAAATGGTAAAGCGTTTGTAGAAGCGCAAGTTTGACTTCAATAAAGCTAAAGATAAAGCTTAACAAGTACAACATTCAAAAATATTAAGACAAGACAAAAATTGCTGTAGGGTTTGGAAAAACGTTTTGCTAACTCATCGCTACACAGTTACCTATGTGAAGCTTCTAATCATTAGTCATGTATTTTTTAATCGTGTTTATCTTATAAATACAAAATTTGTGGTTTTAAGAATGCCGTGGACCTGTTTATGACCCTCTAAAACAATATAAACAAATAATAGAGTTTTTTTGCAAATTTTAATTCTTATAATAATAGTTTTGATTTCATTTTTAATTTAGTTAATTTTCTTGGTATCTTAATTATCTTGATATCTTAATAAATTGTTATTGAAATTTAACTAGTTAAATTTTCCCCATTAAATTAAGTAAACCCGAATTTTTTAAGTACCTTAAAAAAACTCAAAAGCTTTTTTATTCGATTTTTTACTCGTATTAAACTGAGATTTTTTTTCTTTATAAAACATCTAATCGAAGAGTTACTATTGGAAACGTTATAACCAATTCACTCTATTAAGTATTGGCGCGACTACACTATACCAGTGCGCTATAAACAAAATGACAGAGAAAAGTAGAGTAATCTGAAACTATCGAACTTTCCTAAAATGTTTTTATTTTTTTTAGTTTTCATTTTGTTATATATTTTGATATTAATAAAATTTAATTAAAGTTTACTAAATTGTATAAATAAGACAAGCATTGTTTATTTAGTTTAAAAAAAGTTTCTGTTGTTAAGCGAAACATATATAATGTATATACTGTTTAGCTTAACAACAGAATATACATATACATATATATATATATATATATATATTATATATATATATATATATATATATATATATATATATATATATATATATATATATATATATATATATATATATATATATATATATATATATATATATATATATATATATATGCATATATATATATATATATATACACACATATATATATATATATATATATATATATATATATATATATATATATATATATATATATACATATATATATATATATATATATATATATATATATATATATATATATATATATATATATATATATATATATATATATATATATATATATATATATATATATATATATATATATATATAATATATATATATATATATATATATATATATATATATATATATATATATATATATGTATATATATATATATATATATATATATATATATATATATATATTTATATATACATACATATATATATATATATATATACATATATATATATATATGTATATATATATATATATATATATATATATATATATATATATATATATATATATATATATATATATATATATATATATATATATATATATATATATATATATATATATATATATATATAACACGTTTTTTTATGTTACCTGAAATCTGTAAACTTGTATAAAACATTGAAAAATATAAATAAAAATAAATACAAAAAGTATATCTTAAAAGATAAAAAAACCTATTGATTGAAATTTGGAGTTAATTTTTATCTTATATATTCTTATAAAATTATTAATTTACTTGATTTTTTTTATCATTAACTTTGTTGCTTTGTTTATCTTATTTTTATATTGATGAGACATTTTCACTTTCTTTCCTACTTTAATGTTATTAATATAACTTTTTCTTTGTAGATAAATAATATTCTAATTGTTATAACAGTATGTCCAGTATATCTGAACTCAGTGAAGCATCTTTGCAAGAATTATATACATGGATTGATGAAATTCCACTTTCGCGTCCTAAAAAAAACTTTGCTCGTGATTTTAGTGATGGTGGTAGGTTATTTAACTTATAAAACATGTAAAATTTTATCAAAAAATTCATTTGTATACGCTGAAGCTATTATAATAGGTGTCTTAATAAGTTTCACACACTTTATTTTCAATAATCAATCAAATGTCAGCATTTTAAAAACTCACAGTTTAGCCAAACATTTTTAAAGAAAAAGGAAAACTGAAGAATGATGAGAAGAGGAAATTTTTTTCATAATAAAACTTTTATATCTAATCAGTACTTTCTTAAACCTAAGCCCTAGGTTAATGAGGGAAAACCTTGAAGTTGTTTGTCTTAGTATAATGTCATTAACAGGCCTACTTGAGCTAGGATTATCTGGCCCCAAGCAAAGTAACAGTTGTAGCCCCTCCAACCATTATTTAGAAAAAATTCTTTACTTATTTAAAAGTTGAAAATAAACTTGCTCAGGTACGATTTCTAGAGCAGGAGAGAGATATATCCTTAAAAATCACATCAACAGTTTTTTCAATCAAATAACCAGATATACATTTTAATTTCCATGTGTGAACAGATATTTTGGAATCCTGTTCATTTAGAGAAAATTGTTTCGATAAATTTTTAAAAGTTTTAGGTGCATAATCTGATTGCAAAAGAATCCTTTTGTGGAAGGCAGATAAGGAATTCAAAGCAAAAGGGTAACAAAGTAGACTATTAAGTCATTTTAATAGGATTTTGAGCAAAAACTTCCTAAATTTATCTATAAAAAAACTTTAAAAAAGAAAAAAAAAAATCTTAATGAAAGAGAAAATTAAAAAAACAACAACTTAACTAAAGCAAAATACAATATATATATAATATATATATATATATATATATATATATATATATATATATATATATATATATATATATATATATATATATATATATATATACATATATATATATATATATATATATATATATATATATATATATATATATATATATATATATATATATATATATATATAGATATATATATATTAGGGTATATATATATATATATATTATATATATATATATATATATATATATATATATATATATATATATATATATATATATATATATATATATATATATATATATATATATATATATATATATATATATTAGGGTATATATATATATATATATATATATATATATATATATATATATATATATATATATATATTAGGGTATGTATATATATATATATTAGGGTATATATATATATATATATATATATATATATATTATATATATATATATATATATATATATATATATATATATATATATATATTATATCGTATATATATATATATATATATATGTATATATATAATGTATAAATATATATATATATATATATACTATATATATATATATATATATATATATATATATATATATATATATATATATATATATCTATATATATATATATATATATATATATATATATATATATATATATATATATATATATATTATATATATATATAATGTATATGTATATATATCATATATGTATATATATATATATATATATATATATATATATATATATATATATATATATATATATATATATATATATATATATATATATATATATTATATATATATATATATATATATTATATATATTATATATATATATATATATATTATATTATATATATATCATATATGTATATATATATATATATATGTATATTATGGTGGAGTGAATAAAATTTTTGTTGAATATCTTGGTTGGATAGCTATAAAAAGTTGCTGACATATGCAATTAGTAATGTGGCAAACAATCAAACGATTTAATGCATATCTTGAGGTTCCACAATTGACCTGAATTATAGGCTTATTTCAAATAAAAAACAATAGTTTTTGAAATTTCAAGTTTAGATATGACAACATATTTGTGTAGCAGTATACATTTTTAACAGTCTATACGAAAGTTACAAGTGAATAGAACTAAATATTTGAAAAGAAAAGCACATGAAAACTCTAGTCAAACATGTTTTTATAGCTACAAATGATGTTGTGCTTTAGTGTCCAGTTTCAGCATTTTTGATGGGTAAGCATCGCAAGCAACAGGTTTTCTGGATGAGTAAAAAATGCGTTGCGTTGAATTACTGGATCAACAACTTTCTTCAGCTTGTCTGCAAGGTAGCGTGATTTCAGTATTGTATTATGGACATGTCGAGCGCCATCTTTACATGAAGAAGTATTTTTTATTTCAAACCATGCTAGTGCATAAACTGTTATGATGAAGGTAACCATTGTCATCAGTTCATCCGATGGGCATCTTGTGGCTATATACAGGCGTAGTATTCGATTAGCGTTGTTAACCATCTTGAATGATTGATAACACCAAGATTGCGAAGTGAAAGGCCTACAGGACAAACGCCAACACTGACAGCGGTGCACAAGTCAAACAGATATTTTTGATCTGTACTTAAATCGTCAGAATTTAAACCTGTCGGTAGAACACAGTTTATGGGTGTGTATTTGACAATGGGAAGCTTCTCACATGCCACCAATGATTTTCCGATCGGACCAGAAAATCCTTTTGGACCATTGGTAGGTCCATCTAGATGTTCGAACAAATGCCTTAATGGTAATTCGTTAGCATGTAGCTGACATACAAACCATTGCAGCGGTTTGTTCAACGCCACTTCAAGTAATCGAATGATACCTCCTCGATTGCCTGTATTAGCAACGGTTCCGTCACAACCTACAGCTTTTATACCACCCAAGTCAACATTCTTTTTACTCAAATATGCAATCAACTCAGCCGCAATAACTTTGCTTGACCCTGCAATTGGTGTAATGTGGCCAAAATAGATGGATCATGGTTCGGATATAATGGATATATGTTCTTCAGTTGTTAGTTTTCGATGAAATTTCTCATCACATTCTTTAATAAAGGTTATTGTACTGTCTTTTCTTCCATCAAAATATAGCCCAGTGATTGTGTTACTGACATTGGCACATAATGTTCCACGTTTTTTACAATGCTCTCATCGCACTTTACTTCTGTCAATCACTTTAGAAACATCCCTTTCATGAATTATTCCAACATCTTGAAGAACAGCACTGGCGATTCCTGCTACACATGCTAACGCCAGAGATGGTAACTTAACTCTCATCTGCTTGTCACTCAACTTTCTAAATTGTTCATTAGGATCCGGCATACAATTGTCATCAGATTCGTCATCGCTAGCATCAGTTTTCTCTTCCGTAGAAGAAAACTCCTCACAAACATCTGACTGTTTCTCACTGATGTCATCAATGTCAGGTTTGCTGCACATCTGCCTCTGCGTCAACTCTTTACGAATATATCGTTTTTGCAATTTGATGGATTCGGCCTCATCAACTTTAGCAATGATCATACCTCGTGGACCCCGCTGATTTTCTAGAAAATCACGTTCAATTGCGGGTATCTTTCTTGACTTTTCACACTGACACTGAGATATAAAAGAACACTTGCAGGAGCAAATGTCAAAGAGGTTTTTGGATTCATTTTTAAACTGAGATATTTTCTCTCAGTATGGTCCGGAGTCTTTTCTAGACTTATATGGCTTCAGCAAATTCATGAACGTCTTGTGGTACTTGTTCAACATTTCTTGGACACGGCGGTGGCTTACATGTGGTATAGAAGCTTTGTCCCATATTTGTTCCACTTTTGTTGTCACTATTTCTGCCACATTGTGATGTGGTGGATCTTTATTGTTCAATTCATATTTAAGTTTCTGTTTTGTCAGATTGTAAAACTTCATAACATCTGCATAAGTAGGTAGTTGATTGTCAGGCATTTCAGAGGGAGCATCAAAAATGACACAAGATTAAATATGAATTGTTATTATAAATGAATTAAAGTATTATCTTATATGAATAAAATATTTTGCAATAAACGCTGTTTGTTTACTCTAGACAGGAAAAACGCATGCGAATACGTATAAAAGTGAACTACAATAAAAAAATACCGGATAGTAAATGCTTATAAATGGTTAAATTTTGAAGTTGGTTGTGGAAAAAAAAATTAATTTAGGTAACGTTCAAGACGTTACCTAAATTAATTTTTTTTTTTACGGAGTAATTGATTGTATCACAGAACAAGTTTTAATAACTATCCAAAGTCAAGCAAATCAAAAAAAAAATTTTTTTCACGTTTTCACTCCACCCTAATATATATATATATATATATATATATATATATATATATATATATATATATATATATATATATATATATATATATATATATATATATATATATATATATATATATATATATATATATATATATATATATATATATATATATATATATATATATATATATATATATATATATATAATATATATATATATATATATATATATATATAAATATATATTGCCCAACTAAAACAAAACTCATCAAACTAAAATGCTTAGTCTATTTAATTTACGCATTAAAAAATCATTTCATTCTTTGTTTTCAAAAGATAAACATTTGTACTTTTTTTTTTTTTAATGTTTCAAAAGATAAACATTTAAAAACATTATGTTATTTAAAATACATAATTATATATTTTACTTATATAATTATGTATTTTTTATATAAAAAATGCATAATTATATAAGTAAAAAAAACAACAGTTTATTAATACTTATTATATAAATTCATTAGAAGTGTTTTGTTACTTCATTGAAAAGCGTATCGATAATATAAATGCATTTAATAAAATAATATAATATAAAAGCATTTAAATCAAACTTATTTAATGCGGTAGTGGTGTAGTGGTAGAGCGCTTGCTTCATAAGTGAGAGGTTCTGAGTTCGATCCCCACCACGTCCCTGGTAGTACCGCGCTCAACTTGTTTCTCCATGCAGTGGCCTTGTTTGCCAAGATTTGTGTTTCGGAGTTATAGAGTTGAGAGAGTGTTATAACCACAATTAAGTAGCCTCCTCATCTGTAGTGGGCTTCTCGACCTTAGGGAGGTGAAGTTATAAAAAATGTAAT